AAGTGAAGAAAATACAAAAATTATAAAAACATCATATTTAAAAACTATCCTTTTAAATAAGCTATGATTCCAAGCTTCCATCTGCTTACTTGCTGAATGATATAAAGCATTTGTTCCAATTGCTGCACTTCTGGTCTTTCTTTATTTTCTGAATTAGCCCCTGCACTACAGGGGACCAGATAACATGCTCTTATGCTCTGTCAGCTTGTTCTGCAATAAATCATCAGAGGCAACAGCATTTGTTTAGGCCTATTTAAATGGGTCTCCTGGGAAAATCTGTGAGAAGAGAAAATACTGTCAAACTAACTTTTGTAACTTCATCTCTTGCTTCCATACCCTTTTATCTTTTGGTCTTTCAATGGTGCTATTCTCTGTATTATTTGTTTTTAAATATTGTGATGCAACATCCGAATTAGTAAAGCCTTCAGACAGTAACTCCTGTAAGATTAGCTAGAACAAAAAGCAATTAGTTGCTTAGTATTTAATAACAGGATAGATTTCTCAGGCATGTTGTCCTATCCATTAAATGAAAATGGAAGAACTTTGTCGTATTTTTTCTTTTACCTATGAAAAGATTATTCCATTGACTCTTACACAGAAAAGCCACATCCCTATAAGTGATAGAGTAGACACATGCATAAAGTTGTAACTAAAACCACACTTTATCCATTATTTTTTAAAGCACCTTTTATATATTAAGTAATAGTTGGTTATAAGACATTGAGTAAATAAATGTTCTGTATCACTGCATCAATGTTACCTGTTTTAAGGCTAGAAATCTACAAGGAAATTTAGTAATCATCTAGCTCAGGCACATTATTTTACAGATGGGGGCTTATAGTTCAAAGAGGTTGTGGGATTTGCTAAGGGTCAAACAGAAAATTACTACTAGAACCTTTGAAGCTGTGTTTGTTCTGGATTCTCTAGCATTTTTGGATGATTGTGAGTCAGTGATGGAGGCAGTCTCTCTACCAGGTGCCACAGCAGGTCATCTGCATCTGGCATATAGGGTCTCTTCAGGATGCACCCTTCTCTCCAGAGTTAAATTTAAGATGAAAGAAAGACAAAAGAAAACAAAATCTGAGAGACTAGATGAGAATAAAGAGTGATTGTAACAAGGGGAAATTTAATAATACCCTGCAACACCTACAAATAGCCCAATCAAATCAACTGACCAAACAAGAGTTTTTGAACCCATGGGGTCCTGAGTAGCACAGTGGAAAGAAGAATTTTGAAGAATGATTTGAAATAGAATACTTGATTCATCACCTATTAGCAATGTGAACTTAACGAAGTGACTCTGCCACTCAGAAATACCCATTTGGTGGACACTTTTAGTGTGATACCGAGCAACATACTGTTTGCTCATTGATAATTAGCTCTCACCCCTGCTTGGGTTGTGCTCTACCCCATGCTATAGTCACCCTGACATGGCCATTTGCACATGCCCTTCAAGTAGACTTTTAAGCAGGATGGGGAGGTTGAGGTTTAAATTTGTTGTAGTTAGAGGCCAATTCACATGTAAGCACTGCGTCAAGGATAATACCTTTATAATCAATTAAGGCAAAACCATGCTCTAACTCCCTCTATTTTTAAAATATATTTTGAATGACTAAGCCTTGTTGTTGCCCGGTTGAGGACAGGGAAATTATGAAACATAAAACAGGCAGGAGGGAGTCTCCCCTGCACTTTTCCTCTTTCTTCTTTCCCATCCCCCCTCCTAAACTTATTCACTCTCAACCCTCCTTCTTTATGCTTTTGTTTCCCTATCAAAAGCTCATGCACATGCAGAATTCATAACTATGTATTTTGGCCTTATCCTATCCTGGCAACATGTGCATTTTACCAGAATGCTTAATAGGAAATGAACAAATAAGAATTAAGATTTATGCGCTAGGTAAGTGCCTGATATATGTTACATTATCTAGTCCTCTAAGTAATTCTGCGTTAGACACAGTTATCTCACTTTTACAGATGAGAAAACAGAAAGGAAATAGAAACAATAATAAGACAATGTGTGTTGGGCATGAGGGAGTGTATGCAGGTGGCAGGGAGAGGAGTAGGAATTCCGGGTGAGTCAGACAAGCATGATGACTTTGCTAATTGCATTCTGGAAGTAAGACTTTGACAATATTGACCACAGTTACGGAGTTGGCTTCTTTCTTGATTCTGTGTGGGTCTTTCAACCTCATTCTTAAGGCATTGCTGCTGTTGAAAATTTTTTACCTAGTTAGTGCTTTGATTTCTTAAAGAGACTGAATAAGACAGGTGTTTGCTGAACACACTCTACTAGTCACAGCATTTGACTTGCAACTCGGCTTCTTTTTCCCTTCTAATCTGGTGGCTTTAGCTGTGTAATCTCAGAAAAATCAGAGAGCTCTTCTGTCCCCACCCCACACCAACACAAACAAACAAACAAAAGCTTTTCTAGTTCAATGTTTCTCAAAGGTGGGTGTTGGAACTCATAAAAGCAGGAATTTACTCACCAAATTACCTGTGTCATTTGTAGGGTTAACCCCATTCCTCTGTCTCCAATGAGTATTGGTCCTTAAATATTTCATTTTGAAATCTACGGCATTTCAATTCCCCTCTGCTCTTTGAGGTACTCAAAGTAAAACTTTAGGGTGGAAGATAGGATGTATGATCTTCTCAGACACTTCTTGGTGAAGATGATTCCAGTCTGACAATTGACAAGTTCAGGAAGATGAGAGACTCTTGAATTAGATATTTGCAAATGTATCTACAAACATTCATCTTTATCCAACCCTGTTCCAAATAAGTTATTGCTGTTGCTACTGTGAAGTTATAAATTATATTGTGATGAAATTCTTCAGTTTTTTTCTGCACATGGAGGCAGAGAAGATAGTTTAAAAAACTGCATTTGATTAAATCTCCATTTATAAAATAATGATAATATAATAGCATTTCAGGGGCCATGTAATTCTAGCAATAGCAAAGGAAGCAGACTTAATGTTTTATTGGTATTTTAATCAGAAATTATTTATACACAACAGTCTGTATTTAAGAAAAAACCTGATAGGCCCAAAGTCATACCTAACAACATTAAGACTTACAATTTCTGAATTTTCATACAACTCACATAATCTGTAGGATACTAAAGTTTGTAACCTGAAGAAATACTGATAACACAGACTACTCAGTGAATATCTCATAGAATAACAGAAGTCTAGGTTTAATTCATTCACTCAATAAGAAACAATTTTTATTGTACCTGAAGGATTCTGATTATAGAAACAATATTTTAAGTGATTGAAAACAATTAGCAATAAACTAAGTCCTTTTCTAAACATCATTACTGAGCACTTGAGAAAATCTGAGTGTTTGGGAGGAAGTGGCTTATTTTTCTTTCAATGAGAAGCGAACACTCCAGACATTATTTTATTGAAAAGATGTTCCTGAACAAATAGAGGATAAAAAGGCAAATCTAAGACTTTTAAAATAATATTCTACCATATCATTTTTCCTCCCTCCCTCCCCCCTCCTTCCTTCCCTCCCTCTCTCCCTGCCTTCTTTCCTTCTTTCCTTCCTTCCTTTTTAAATGTTATCTTGTGTCTTATGACCAAAGAAATGTTTTATACCCTTCAGTTGCACCAAAAATAAAAAATAAATTTCATGATAGCTGTAAAATGTGTGTATTTTCTTTCTAATTTTTGGTAGCTGATGTATTTGGGGGCACTGATGTTTGAATGTGTTTATACATGTGAGAAGCTAATGACTAGTACTGAAAAAAGAGTTCATATTTACATTTATCTTTTTCATTATACTTTTACACTAATACACAGTTTGATAATTATACAATTAGACAGTCAATTGTATTTTTTTTTTAAATCCTGGTTTGGAAACTTAAGTTACCTATAAATGATTTTTATTCTAACCTCATGATTCTTTACTACTGTTCCAGAGCTGCCATACCTTTGAATCAGAAATATATACAGTTTATTTAGACATTATACACATCCATCTGATTCTATTATGATTGAATCATAATAGAATAATTGTATGACACCAGACAAATTCCATAATATTTCTAAGCCTCAGTTTCTTCAGCAGTGAAACAGAAATGATCTTATTTGGGAGACTAAAGTAGATTGTGCATAAAGCCTTTATTATGATGTCTATGCAGGGGAAGGGCCAAGTAATTGTTAGCTCAGATTGTTAACTTTTATTCACCCAATATGTGCAAAATACTGGATTGCTTGTTTCATAGTCACTTAAATTTATATAAAAATAACTCAGGGATTCAAGACTATAACTTTATTTAAATTATCCCAGCATAAGATGTGATTATAAAGATATGAGTGATATTTTAAAATATATACATTCACTGGAGTGTTATCCTTTAAGTCATGTTGGAAAGTAGACATGTTTTCTAACAATTTTACCATTGCTCAACAACTTTGTAGACTTCACTTATGGAAAACTCTTCAGAGGCAAATTCTGAGCCATATTTTAAAAAATCAGTGTCATTGATTTTATTTGAATAAAAATCAAGGCCATCCATGGTGGTAAGGAAGATAAAAGGAGATACCCCATTTCATTTGAAAAACCTTTGTAAATTATAAAGACCCATACAAAAGTAAAATGCTATGAAGTAGAGTTAAAGGATGACTCTCCTCATTGAGAATATTAAAAAATTATGCCTCTGGCTCCTAAAAAAATATGAAAACCTGCAAGTGTTTTGAGCTCTAGCAGAACCCTTATAATTTTTTATGTGTAGATACAGAAGGTGCCAAAAAAAAATGTGGGCACATTTTAAGAAAGGAAAACTGTATTAAAATTGTAATAATATATACTGATAACAAAAGATGAATACAAGTCACATTTGACTTAGGCAATTACAAGAGGTGCCAAAGTGGTTACCCTCCATCAGCATAATTTCAATACAGTTTTTTCCTTCCTTAAAATGTGTATACATTCTTTTGGCACTTTCTGTATATACATATGTGTGTGTGTGTGTGTATATATATATATGTATTAATTTATATATATGCATATACATATATATAAAACATTTATATTTATAGTCTCCAATTTGCCTGCCAGGAGCTGGACAACACCCATTTGAGTATGTAACATTTAGTTGGTAAAAAAATAATAATTCATTCATACTACCGGTATTAACTTTGTTACTACTCTGCTTTTATCCATTTCCTGACATATCTAAAATTTTCTGCTGTCAAATAATTTTATCCAGAAACATCTAAGACTGCTTAACCATGCCTTTCAGTTTGTTTGTCTTCCAAATTCCTCTAAGGTTGGGTCAGAAGTTTTGCCAGAGCAAACCAATCATGACTTGGGCTGGAGTGCAACAAGTGGGAAACTTACTATTATTTGTTTCAGAGTTATTTAAATCATGAGCTGAGGTTGAAATGAAAATTAAAGAAAATACATGTTTAAGTTTATAATTTGTGGAGTGTGGTGGTGCAAATGAGTTATAAACCAAGTAGATCGTGGAATAAATATTAAGGTCTAGAATGGAAGTCTAGGGAAATTATGTCCAGAATTAGCAGATAGAACGGTATTTCCAGTTCTGAGGCATGTTTGAACAGATAATACAATCTGATTTGGTGGTTTGAACATATTGTAGTTTAAATCGACCATTGTCAGATCATTTGGTTAATTGAGACTCTAATAGAGAACATGGTTTAATCATATACCTTTTCATGATTTGGAGAGATTGATATCACCTTACAAATATTGACTGTCAATTGAGTCCTCTTCAACTCTTTCTCAGAGGTCATTTTAAATCTTTTTGCGATTTTTTTTATTTTATAGGTTCAGCACTTCTGTTTTCTATTCTGTCACTTTGTATTAATGATATTATCTGGCTGTCCACAGGATGTAATACTTCTTAATAAAAGCTGACTTATCTCTTCCTTAAGTGCAATGATAGACATATACTAATCAGTGTCTGTAAAGTATCTTATCACAGCTGAGGACTCAGGCACTGTGGATTAGCAGCTCTGCAAATAGCAAAAGAGCTAAAGCATTGCATGCCATATTTTCTGTATTAGTGCAATATATGTCTTTAGAGATTCATAGGAACTTTAAAAATGTATAGCGTCAACTGTTCAATATCAAGATTTAAAAAGAAATAGCAAATAATATTTTGAAAGTGGATGGATATATTATTTTGCCAGAAGAAAATGATCCATATTCTTTAAAGTTTTCCACCAAATAATTAGCGGCTTTATTAGAGATATTCTTAGAGCAGGCATGTACTTTGCAACATAGCTAAATGCATTAGGCAAAGAGAGAGTCCAGGACAGACCCACGATACCAAAGATTGCATTTTGGATATAATGGAATACAGATCAGATGCTACCAAAATACCTTAGCTTTGAGGTTTGTCAGTGGCTAAGTTACAATGGATAAAAATTACCAAGCTTCTTTAATGAAATTACATAGAATGTTTCTCAGCAATCTACTTTATGATGTACAGGCTTTCAGTAATTTCTTCCGATAGCTTGCAAAAATGGAAGAATTTCTTGAAAACTCATGCATACTACTTGCCATTGTTTATTTTGACTCATTTAATGGAATTCTAGCCAGTATTTTAAGAAACACTCTGTACTGTTTTCATTGTTTTGCAAATACACTGTCAAATCAAACTACTTTTTTTCTTTTAAAGAAAGGAGTTTGGAATCAAGGATAATAAAATTATAGATACACCAAATCCTTCTTAATTGAATACACTGCTATATTCTTCACATTTGCAGGTTTAATATAATAGAATTGAAGAAGGTTTAATTTAGATTCAAAGGAGGCATTTTCAGACAGTCTATCATTTAAACGTTGATTTTTAGATACTTTGTGAACATTCCAACTTGGCTTCTAAGAGGTTAGTGTTACATACCTTTTCATAAATATGACTGTTACATTAAAAAAGACCTCTTATTCCAATTAAATGAAGGGAGGGGAGAAATGAGACTCCAATAAGACATATATGATCAGGACAGAAGAGTTCAGTTACCAAAGCCTAGGAGTAACATCACTGCACCCATCAGGGTGAATGTCATTGACTCAGTTGCTGTTGTACATCCTGATCCAGTTGTGTCTATAGTACTATGACCGTCTGTTTGATGGATTTGCTTTACATCACTGAGGTTCATCTCATCTGGCATCCCTGCAGAGGCAAATAAGAAAACACATGGTCATGCATGACCAACTTACCATGATATGTCTACAACAATTATTAAACCCAAGTGTGGACACCATTGTTTTTTCATAGCATTCTCCATGTGTTCCCCTAACATTAAATGACTAATGTGATACTTCTGATCTTCTTAAATTGGACAGCACAAAACCCTTGAGTGGGAGTTCTAGAAATATTATAAGAGCAAAGTATACTTTCCCCCTCACCCCCCACCCCCCAGCTTCTTAAAGCATTTGGAATATTCCCCTAATGCCACTGATTGGTAAAAAAAATGTTCTCAGATATGGCATCATTGCTTGTCCCAGAGATATAACAACTATAGTAATTGTGGGAAACCTTTTCTTGTAAAAATAAAACAATGTAAGAAGAAATAATTAAGTAGGGTGTTTTTTTTCAAAAGTAGAATTTATACAGATCACATTTCTTTTAGCCTAAACTATGCATAGGATCCTTATTGGAAATATGTCAAAGAATAGCAACTAATATTAAATGATATCCTTTATATACACACACAGCTGTGGGGAACTATTGACACCTGTCAATAGATCAAAGAATTTGTTAATAGGGTGGCCTGGGGATTGAAGTTAGGTTTGAAGTGTTTGATTAAAAAAAAAAAAAAAAGGCCATATCGACCTATTGACCAAGTTCCAGTGATCTTGGTCATTACTTCTACATGTTATGAAATTTGATAAGCTGAGGAGTCAAACCCCCAAATTACTGGGGATGAAATAATAATTTTCTTAAAGAAGTTTACTTTACTATAATATACCTATGAAAAGATGCTCAAATCACTAATCATCAAAGAAATGCAAATAAAAACCACAATGAGATTTCACCTCACACCAGTTACAATGACTATCATCAACATGACAAATAATAAGTGTTGGAGAGGCTGTGGAGAAAAAGGAACCCTTATACACTGTAGGTGGGAATGCAGATTGTTGCAGCCTCTATGGAAGGCAATGTGGAAGTTCCTCAAAAAATGAAGAACAGAATTACCATATGACCTAGCAACCCCTCTCCTGGGTATACACCCCCAAATTTTGAAAACATGTATCCATAAAGATATATGTGCTCCAATGTTCATTGCAACTTTATTAATGGTGGCCAAGACATGGGAACAACCAAAGAGTCCTTTGATAGATGATTAAATAAAGATGTGGTGTATATACAGAATGGAATACTACTCTGCCATAAGAAAAAATGAAATAGTGCTATTTGTGACAACATGGATGAATCTTGAGATTATTATGCTAAGAAAATTAAGTCACACAGAAAAAGTTGAGAACCTTATGATTTTACTGATATATGGGATATAAAACTGAAAGCAACAAAGGAACAAGGCGAACAAATAAACAAAAAAACTCACAGACAATAGTTTAGTGGTTACCAGAGGGTAAGCAGGGAAGGGGTGGTAGATGAGGGTAAAGGGTATCAAATATATGGTGATGGAAGGAGAACTGACTCTGGGTGGTGAACATACAATGGGATATATGGATGATGTATTACAGAATTGTACACCTGAAACCAATGGAATTTTATTAACCATTGTCACCCCAATAAATTTTAATAAAAAAATTTTTAAAGAAGTTTACTTTATTATAATATACCTAAGAGATTACTAACTTATCACTTATTATCTAGTGCCACCAATGTTCTGAGGCCATGTGACTGAATTATCTCATGGCATGCCACTATCAGTCACAATTGAATTTAAATTCAATGTTACTACAGCCACGGATATTGACATCGTAATTATAGTGAGACTGAAAAAAAAAGCTTTATTTAAGGAAAAGTCAATATTTATGTAATTAGGTCAATATATATATATATATAATTCAGAAGATAAGCTCTACTGCATTCAGAGCATTAAAATGAAGCGTAGCTCTACTGATCTGCCATATTGATTTTACAATCTGAGCTCTCGCATTATTATTCATTGTTTGCGTACTTGTTTTGCCCTTCTGTATCATTAGGCAAGATGAATAAACTAGTGATTCATTTTTTATGGGACTTGAGGAGAGTGTAAATATTTCAGTCACGGTTTTATACTTCTTGCTATGCTAGAGCTTAAGAAGGAGTTACGAGGACTCTAGGCAATTAAAAAATGTTTTCTCAAAGATAACTACATACATTTCAGCATTAAGGTATTTACTTTTCAATTTTTTTAAAGCATTGCAAAGAGCTGCCTGAATTGTATTCATGAATAATTATTTTTAATGCCTTTCTGAACTTGTGTTTCCTTCATTCATTCATGAGCCAGGCACTGGTCTGGGCTTAGGTGATACCATTGTGAGTAAAAATATGTATGAAGGAAGATGTTAAATCTTATGCCTACAAGTCAGGCAATGCCAGGAGAGGTATTCCACCTTCAATATGATGTCATTTTAACATCTGAGGTAGACACATTACCAATAATTATAATAGTTCTAAGGCGATGGTCCCTTGATAAAAGAATATAAAAAGAATTGAAGATCCCTTCAAGAGCCTGGCAGTCAGGGCTGAAATTTTTAATCAAATCACAACCTGGCCTTGTCATCTGTTAAGAAATCTTAGCATGCTGAGAAGGCCAGCCCCACAATTATTTGATGCAATGATTGTTTTCTTAAAGGAATTTAATTAACTAAGCTTGTAAATTATACCAAAGCTTAACCAAAGACCCATAAAGGAAAAATTAGTTTGGGGATTTATTAGATTAACAAATTAAACAAAAACAAATGAAATTTTGAATAATCTTTTCTGTGCATAATGGCAACACACAAAGATGCCAATATATTCATATTTCTGCTGTGGGTGGCTTACAGTCTGGTAGGGGAATACAGTCATGTTATTACAAAAATAAATGTAATATTAAAACTTGAGTACATGCCTGGTGGTTGGTGCTATGAAGTATGTAAAAAGTATGTAACTCAGGGAAGGCTCCACTAAGGAAGTGTTGATGTGTATTAACTTATTTGGCAATAACTACAGAGCTCTTGGCTATGGTGCCAGTACTGCTTCAAGTACTTCACAAATATTGACTTGTTTAACTCTCACAACAGTTGCATGTAGTAGGCACAGTTATTATGCCTGTTTTTTTAGATGAGTGAACAGAGGCATGGGTAGGTTAAGTAACATGTGAGCAGTGGAGCCAGCCATGAAATCCAGCCTGGACCTAGCCTATGTTCCGAGGACCAGATGTGCTGACTCCAAGCACCAAGAAATCAATATTTAAGTTGGGAGCAAAGAAGTTCGATTATGTGTCTAGAGAGGGTCACTAGGAGGAGTTTTTCTCCTTCCTTGATCAGGGATGACAGACTACGTGCTAGTTTTGTGTATTAATCAAGCAACTGGAAGTATTGAGGTTTAGATTTCCTGTGGGCCCATAAGCCATGATGAATCAGAATGATGATGGTTCTGAGAGAATTTCATCATCTTTTGTCATTTATATGCTGGCCTTTTCCTTGAGGCAGGGAGTATGGGTGCTTCTCCCTTTCTATCTATTCTGTCTAAATACATATTTTAAAAATACTTAGTCTTACTAAACAATGAAGAATGTGTTTAAAGATAATTTGTTCTCTGTTTTTAATAAGGAAAATTGCATGGGCAAGAACTTAATCTGGTCACTCATTCACAAAATTTACCCACTTCTGGCTGGTTCTGTGTCAGGTAATGTGTTGGAGACTAAATACAGAGGGTGCCAAAAATATGTATACACATTTTAAGAAAGGAAAAAACTATTAAAATTGTAATAATATATACCGATATCAAAAGATGAAAACAAGTCACGTTTGACTTCTGCAGTTATAAATGATACTCAAAGTGTTTACCATCAGCATCAAGACACTTCTGATTTCGGCAAACTACTGCTTGAGCAATGTTGACCAGAATGTCCATTTGTATACATTTTTTTGGAACCCCTGGTATATACTATACCTGGTGTCTTTTCCATCAATGATGGAAGTACAGGGCAGATTTAAATGTTAGGAGCAGGACTAGAGGTCATTATTTGAATTCAATGAAGTCAAAATAATTTATCTCTAGAAATTATCTCCTTTCAAGGTAGCTATATATAATCATAGCACTCAAGATAAAAGCCTATTACATAGTATGCTTTTAATCAATATCTTCAAATGGAATCATTGAGTAATGACTCATTCTCACAACAGTAGGAGGATTTAGGTACAATTATTATTCCTCATTCTACAGATTAGGAACAGATGCAGAAGTAATTTACTCAAGGTAACGTGGCTATGGCTGAAACCCAGTTGTGTTCTAGTCAAACACAGTTCTCTTTAATTCCAGAACCATGTTCTTTTGCAACTGTCCACAATCAAAGCATTGAAGCCTGCTACAGTCTGGCTGGATGACTTTAGACATTAACCCCATTATATAGAACATTTAAATGAGAGCATTTTCAGTGAGAGAAGGGTTAGTCAAAATACGGTGCTTGCTAATTGATTAAATAAATATTTGGAAAATAACATAAATTTTTATCCCACAGCATTCTCTAAAGTAAGTGCCTATGGGACCAAAGATTTAAGTATAATGAGGAAGCAAACAAAATATATAGATTGATATTTTGATTTATATTTAGGTGGTAGAAAGCATATTGATTTTTTAGGCAGAATCTATACAAGCAAAGATTAATAGTTTTAACTTAATAAAAAAAGAACTTCTGTATAACATATAACACCATAAAACAAGTAAGAGACAAGTTAAAAAATGGAGAAAATAATGCAGTGTGTATTGCAGCAAAAGGCTGAAGTCTTTAACAGAAAAAGTTCTCATAATCCATATGAAAACCACAATGTCCTTATAGAAAAATTGTGCAAGGAAATAAATAAAAATTTACAAGAAAAAGATATCTATATAAAAAAATTAAAAGCCTTCTTTACAGGAAAGCCAATAAATGCAATCTTACACATGATAAAGTGTCAATTACTTAATGTTCAGTTGACAAAGGCAGGGCAGAGAGGAGATGATAACCA